TAACAATAGGCGGGAACGTCACACTTCCTTGTGTGGTAGATGGATTCGCAAAGCCAGATATTGCATGGGTTTTCTATAGCTCCAATTCATCAATACCGCCCCGTAAACTGAAGTAAGCACGTTTCGATATAAAACCAAATTTTAAAAATTATCTTAAATTACTCTTTAAAGATATCGAAGAATGTAAACGCAAAAAGCATAACTAACTTTATGTATATATTTGATTTCAGAACAGCAGATCCATCAGGCTCTTTGTCATTAAGAACAATACAACATGACAGTGAAGGACGTTATGTTTGCGAAGTAACTAACATTGGTGGCAATGATACAATCACTTATGAAATAGAAGTTCTCGGTAAGTTGTTTAATAGTGCTTAAGTTACAAGGGCTCGAACACATATTGAAACACTGATATATTAAAACAAAAATGATAAAACTAAGCACACATTAACAAAATTGTGTTCAAGTAGTCACCATTCGAGGGAAAATCTTAACACCGCGATTCAGAAATATCGCCAAATGGGTCAATGCCATCTAGCGGAATCTTAGAGAACTAGAAGTGAACAATCTGGCTTAGGACCGTCTATTACATAAAGTAGGTTTGTTACATGCGTTGTTAACTTAGAGGATGGAAAAAAATAAACGGTTGTTAAATAGAATATATGTCGAATATCCAATGACAGAATAAGAAGTTCCACCACTTTTGAGAATATACACAAGCTGCATTCAAACTTCATGAATACATCTGTCAATAGTTAGTAGAGGTTGATATAGAACACATATGGGCAACATGCGGCCCGCGGGCCGCATCCGGCCCGCTGTAAGATATAATCCGGCCCGCGAGACATTTTGAAAAAAAAAACTCAATGAAAAAATATTAAACTAGGTACTTACACTCACGGCGACAGTGAAGCCCCAAACATCTAATCCTTTGATGTTTGCCGCCTCACTCTTTGATAATCGCCGCCACTCGGCTTACTCGATCAAAGTCTTTGATGTTTACCGCCCGACGCCTCACGGGCGGCAAACATCAAAGACTTATTGATTCTCAATTATTCTAAAACTAGTTTATTCCAGAATATTCCTTCATTTTGCCTATATAAGCGGGTGTATGGCCCGAACATTTGTGCAGTTCTATTCGAGCTACCGAGGTGATAACTTCGACAAGCGATATTCTAGCGAACTGTTTGAGCCGTGAACTTTGTGTGCATCTTGAGTGGTTGTGTACTAACTATAGTTTGTATTGTTATTAAGTTTAAAGAACGAAAAGTTAACAAAAATGATGTCTGGTGGAAAAAAACGAAAAGTAGATACAGAGGGACGCCAGTTTCAAGAAAAATGGACTGAAGAATTCTTTTTTATTTTGCACAATGGTAAGCCTATTTGTTTGCTGTGTAATGAATCCATTTCAGTAATGAAAGAATTCAATATAAAGAGGCATTACTTAACTAAGCATACTGCGCTACACTCACTGACAGGACAATTAAGAACAGACAAAATCCAGAAGCTTACAGCAAATTTGGAGAAACAGCTACAAATGTTTCATAAACAAAGAACACAACTTGATAATGTTGTGAAAGCTAGTTTTATAGTTAGCTCAAAATTGGCAAAGGCATTAAAACCATTTGCCGAAGGAGAATTTATTAAGGAGTGTATGTTAGAAGTTTGCAGTGTTTTGTGTCCTGAAAAGAAAAATAAATTTGAAAAAATTAGTTTGTCACGACGAACCGTTGTTGGACGTATAGAAATGATGGCTAATGATATAAAAACAACATTGACTGACCGTATGGCTGGTTTTGAATCATTTTCCATAGCATTAGACGAGAGCATGGATTTGTCGGACACAGCTCAACTGGCTATATTTATTCGAGGTGTTGATAAGGAGTTCACTGTTACTGAGGAATTGCTTACTTTACAGTCGCTAAAAGGAACCACTACAGGGGAGGATATTTTTAATGAAGTTCAAAGGCATTCACAAGATTTGGCTTGCCATGGTCAAAATTAAAGGGAGTATGCACTGATGGTGCACCTTCTATGGTCGGCTTACGTAAAGGTTTCATCGGAATTTTAAATGAAAAAGCAACAGCATTAAATGTGCAAAAAGATGATTTGATAGTCCTTCATTGCATTATCCACCAACAGAACTTGTGTTCTAAGTCCATTCGACTCCAGCATGTTATGGATGTGGTAGTAAAAACCATCAATTTTATTCGATCTCGAGGGCTTAACCATCGTCAGTTCAAGGGGTTCTTGGATGAAATATCCGCTGAATATAACGACGTAACATATTATTGTGAAGTCAGATGGCTGAGCAAAGGAAAAATGTTGAAACGGTTTTACGAGCTTAGAAATGAGATAGCAGACTTTATGAAAATAAAAGATAAACCACTATCTGAATTGAGTGACCCAAAATGGATATGTGACTTAGCATTTCTGGTCGATCTAACAGGCTATTTGAATGATTTAAATTTGAAACTACAAAAACAAGGACAGTTAGTAAATGATTTGTACAGCCATTTGAAAGCATTTCAGGTCAAACTGCGCTTGTGGGAGTCACAGATGCTATCTGGTAATAGTTACCATTTCAACACGCTCTCTACGTACGAAAATATTGTTTATGCTCAATATGCTGAAGAACTCAAGTTACTGTCGGAACAATTTTCGAACAGATTTAGCGATTTCAAAAACATGGAAGACTGTTTCAGTTTATTTGCAAATCCAACAAAAAGTAATGTACAACATGCTCCAATACACTTACAAATGGAGTTGATCGAAATTCAAGAAAACTCACTCCTAAAATCTAAATTTGAAGAAGTAGAGTTGTGCGATTTCTACAAAAAATACCTAGAAGAAGACAATTTTCCGCAGCTTAGGAAATTCGCAAGAAGATTGATTTGTGCTTTTGGCAGTACTTATAAGTGCGAACAGTTCTTTTCGATGATGAAAATTAATAAATCAACACATCGTACAAGACTGACTGACGATAATTTGGAAAATTCTTTACGTGTTTGTATCAGTGGAATTAATCCAAATATCGATGGATAAGTTTCCCAAATTCAAGCTCAAGTGTCTCATTGATTGACTTTCGTAGTTTGTAGCAATTGCAAATTTATCGATTTACCGATCGTTGTACCATTTTTTTAAATTTCATTTTTTAAATAAATTGTACTAGTACTAGAATAACATTGTGATATTATTTTATGTCTGACATCTATTGACACTAATTACTTTAAAATGCACTAAGCACTTTTAAACGCGGCTAAAGTTTGGCCCTCAACATGTTAAAGGTTGCCCATACCTGATATAGAAGGTTTCAAAATTTGTGGCATTCTTTAAAGTTATGTCTTATTAATAACAAAAGTAGTGTAGTAGTGTGTTAGGACATTAGAGGATAATTAAAAATTACTGTGTAATATTTTAATTGCTGAGTGAAGAAATAGACTGACCACAGATGGCGCTATGGCAAAATGATTTAAAAACCGAAGAAGGATTTTTTTCTAAGTTACGATCTATTATTAATAATCATTGTAACAAACTAGTGGAGTAATTTCACAAAAATAATTGAATATCATGGTTGTCAAATATCGTGACATTTAATAAAGTTGAAAATTAAACTATTTTAAACTGCTAAAATAATTGTTCTTTTTAGAACCCCCTGTGATAGACAAGAAAATAAAAGAAATACGAACACTTCAGAGAGGTGCTGTTCGTATTGAATGCAGGTAAGGTATAAAAGAATTAAGCTTCATGTACTTATTATGTAGTAGTCACAAAACTTTTAGACACAGTGTAGCATTACACTCTTAAACCTAAGCAGATATGTCTGTGTCTTTAGCTCCACTTAACAAAACCCTGTTTAGGAAAACCGAACATGATATTTCATAGACATATTCACACTTACGAAGGTATTCCCCAATTCAAAATTATAAATGTTTCCCAAGCTATGGGCTCACGACGAAGTCGCAGCAAGCACACAGGATAATGGAAACGGTTGAATTTCAAAATTATTTTATTGCCCAAAAGCGATCAAAATTGAATATGGTCGACTATTCATGAATTACCTGCTGCTTTACTTAAGCCTTTCATAAGTCTCGACACCATGTAGTGTTTATAGAGTGGTATACTATAATCTAGAGCTTGTCCTTATACCTTCATGTGTATACGTTGATACAATTTCGTGTATTATTCAGATTGCTACAAGGTAAACCAAAACCGGTGGTACGGTGGTTCTACCAAACACCCCAAGGAAATAAGGAAATGGATGCACATTCAGGAGAAGACCACATCATTCTTTATAACGTCACGACGAAAATGTCGGGCACTTACAGATGTGAAGCTCACAATTCTGTAGGTAACGATTCACATTCTACGAAAATTGTTGTGGACTGTAAGTATATGCATAAGATTTTTACTTATTCAAGGCTTTCTAATCATTAGTCGTAATATTATAGAAAAGGGGTCAAGTAAAAGCACATGTAAACAGATTATCTGTTGTAACACCACAACTACTGTGTGGTATTAAAACACACATCACTGATATCACGCATAGTCGTTTGTGCGAAGCTGCATGCTTATGATAAATATATGCATCAAATGGGCGTGTACGTGTGTCGCAGTGTGCGCTTCTATTATAATGAGTCACGCTTCTAAAGCATATATTATCTAATGTTGAAACACGCTCCGAGGCACATAATTGCAATCATGCGCACACGTAACTGAAAACTAATAAGTACATTGATAATGAAGAATACTTACTTACATTTTTGACTTTTGATAGCCTACCCGGATATACGTAGAATCGTATTAACACCATGTAACGTCGGTGTTTTCCTTTTGACCGCAATATGATGACCCGATAATGAGTGTTTATTTGATATTAGTATTCATATAGCTAATACAAGAAAATTTGCCCTAATAAGATACCAACGAAATAAAACTTCTGAAGTCTAAATGATTTACTTTCAGATCCACCAGTCTTTGGACCTGAAGATCCAAATATCGAAGCCAAAGAAGCTGATGAAATAACAATCCATTGCAGCGTAGTAGGTGAACCTACCCCTAAAGTTACGTGGTTTGTCAATGACACTGGAATTGATACAAAACGTTTCAGTATTGATGAATTTCACAATTTGACGTAAGTAACAATGTAATAATGCAATTTTGGGTTACTTAAATTAGTTTAAAATTCAACCAATAAATTTCTTATGTTAATAAAAAAGTTTTAATGTAACTATATATAATAGAATAGAATAGAATAGAATAGAATAGAATAGAATAGAATAGAA